TGGAAGAGCAGTTTGTAGTATGAATACGTTTTCTCTAGATGAGATCACAGTTTTATTTTGTAAATATTACATTTAAGTATATATATACACACACATATATGTACAACAATATATACATGTGCATATATATGTAAATTTGTATTTATATATATAATATCTTTATATAGATAGATATCTGCAGACAGGTTATTGATTATAGAGACCCAAGAAAGCAACTCAATAATTGTTCAAAGTTCTCCTCACTGACTGCTGGTGTGTAGTTTAAGAAGCCCCGAGTTGTCTGCACTCAGAATTTCACATCTGGATGGGCACCTATTCTTTGAATGGAACACTTGATGTGGAATTTTAAGTCTGAGAAGTGAGGTGTCTGCTGAAGAAGGGATTTTAGGGACTCCCTTCCTCTGTACAGGTAGAAATGATCTGGAAGTCTGGAATAGACGACAGTAAGCTAACTTTTACAGTGTAGGAAGTAATTGTCTTTTAATCAAACTATAGAACTGGTCAAGGCCAGAACAAGGGAAAGAACAAAATCCAATTTACCAAAAAAAATGAAATATTCCCAAATAGAGGCCTCTCTCTTAAGGTGGACGATAACCCAGGAGCTCTATCTTTATTACTTGAGATAGCAAATGAGCACTCCCTCTCTTTCTTTAATGGTCAATGGGCCTGTGCGTTCTTGAAAAGTAACCCATGGACTTTGTGTCAAGCCTTGGCTCTCACAGATTGCCACAGCCCATTTAAAATTTCAGGGCCTCACAATCCCTTGCCCTCCCACTGTGAGGTAGGTAAGTATTATTATCCCCATTTTGTAGCTAGAGAAACTGAGGCAAACGGAGAGGCAATTTGATGACTTTTTCAAGATCACTGAGCAAATAAATTGCTGCCTGGAATCAAGAATTCCAGGTTCTTAATCTAGGGACATCATTCCTCTCTTGGCTATTATATATTTCTTTAAAAAATCAAACTGTTGGTAACAATTTCGCAGAATTTTAATAAGTTAAAAGTACAGTCTTTTATTTGTTTACTAGTTTTTATGTTTTTGTTTATTTGGTTTGGTATGGTCTGTTTTGTGTACTTAAAACCCATTGGAATTACCTGTCTGGTCATGTAGCAGCTTTTTAGAAAATTGGACTGTGCAGTGTGATTCTGAGTGCAGTCTTTATAAAGCCCAGTGTTATACTGGTAAATACGAACATTTTATAATGTGAAAAGCACGACGATACACTATGTCCCTTAATATTTGGTAAAACCAACACCAAGCCCTCCCCACTCCCTACTACCACTGACTGCCACCAAATAAATCAACAAAAACACTCCCCCAACAACAACATATCAAGGGAGAAAATTACTTATTTCCTGGACCTACTACAATGTACAGAAAATGACAGCATTATAAAAGCCAACTCTATGTCTTCTAGGGAAATCTTTATGATTGCATCTACCTACTCAGTCTGTAGAATGAACAACGTCCTTTAGGAAACACAAAAATAGGGTTTTTTTTTTTTCTCTTAGTTTTTAATCATGCATTTTTATTTCCATTTTATTGCCTTGTCTTCTATTAATCTCTATCTGTACAGCTTTGTCACCATCAATTTCTTCCTTTTATTTTCTCACTTGAAGTAGTTCCAGAAAAAAAAAACAAAAAAAAAAACAAAACCTCTCAAAACTTTTAACTTGACTTTATGGTTTCCTTCCTTTCTTTCCTTTCCTCATCTTTCCATTTCCTTCCTTCCTTTCTTTTTCTTTTTTTAAACACAGGTAAGACCTATAACAAATTGACAGTTAAAACCAAGTTAAATCGAACCTGGAAGGGAGGTAGCTGAAGTCTGTCTCTTAGGATTATTTTTAACAAATAGCATTTAAGCATTGGCCAAGGTGGGAACAAGACCAAGAGAACTGTCTAGGCAGCGACTCAATATGCTGAAGACAGGAGTAGCAGCTGGTACCTTCCATTTTCAAAGTCTTATTATTTATGATGGTTGATCTCTCCCTGTCTTAACACCCCAATTTATCCATTAAAATTAACTTCCCAAGGACTGTTTTCCCTTAAAATTTTGTTGGCACAGAAGCTGGGAGTAATACAAGTCCCTTGGGCAGGCAGTTAGGGTTTGGCTTGGAAATGCTTCCCAAGATGGAGCTTAGAGGACTGTCCACCTTATCTTTTCTTTCTTGCTGCTAGTGGGCTAATACTTTTTCAGACCCAGAATCGCCAAGTGTTTTAGAGCCCCTGAACTTCAGTGTTGCTTCCTTGTGAGTACTCTAATGTCCTAAACTGAAGGTGATTGAACGGATGAGACAATGAGTTTATTCCCAGGAAGAAAACAAAACTGGGAATCAGCGCTTTGCACGAATAGAGCTGACTCTCCTCCACTAAAATTTGAAATGGACCTATAAATTACACCTTCCATGTCAGTATGGGGCTAGCCATGGATCAGGTTGTCCCTCTTGCCTAATATCCTTGGCAAACATGAATTTGTGATTTAATAGGTTTGAATGATAGTAAGGAGACTGGGTGTGTTTTTACTTAGAAGTACTCAACTCAATCTGAGTTTGAAGATAGGAGTCAGACTTTAGGAAGGGTCACTGAGCTGGGGAGTGTGGCAATGGACAAGGGTGGAAGTAGAGGAAGAAAGAGGATGAGGACTGATTTAAGGGAAGCCTGTGAGGTTCTTCTGTGGTTCCTGCAACCCCACCTTTTGTGATGTAATCTTTGGGTCTTCAAAACTTTTTGCATTACTTATTGGTGTAGTTAAACCACTCAGAGGGCTGACATTGTCATCTTTTTAGCTTAAACGTTCTCAGCTAACACTAAGAGGAGACACGTTGATAATTAGACTAGGACAAGAGAGGGGCCTTAAGAGTTGGCAAGAGTTCTAAGATACTGGAGAGGGGTGCCAATATGGGATCAAGATTCAAATATTATTATTTATTTATTTATTTGCTAAGAATTGGTCCTGGTAACCACAGAAAAGAAATCTCGAAAATAAATGAGATATGGGTTTGTTAGGACGAAACATAAAGGATTTGAACTTTGTCTTAACAGTGGTGGCAGCCTCTCCATTCCGGAACCCAGTCTCAGACTTTGTAATAAGGTAAAAGCCATGCCCACTACCTAAACACTGCTTCCCTGTCTGTGGGCACCTGTGTGAAAAACACTTGATATGGCCAATAGATATCTTCTCAAGTGTTGTCGATCAACGTAATTGCTATTGAGTGTGATATAATAAGAAAGTTTCTGAAGTTGCTTTTGGTCCCCATGGTATAAAGGGCCATGACTGATGAACAATGTCTGCCTTGGATGCAGGAATGAGGAGGAGCAACACACATGCCTGATTGTTCCCATTCCTATGCTAGATTCTGGTTTTTATTGGTTGTCTTCACTCAGACTTGAGATGACCTGATCTACAGCAATCTTTATGTGATACATCTAATGTAGACCCTTTCATCTCACATTCTCAGCTCTAGGTTTCAGAAAGTATGGCAGACTTAACCATTCTCTCCAACTCATTCTGTATTAATCTCTTCCAATATTAATTCAAAGGCAGTAGACGGGCAACTGGCTAAAAAGAGGCAAAAAAAAACCCCATTGCCGTTGAGTCAATTCCAACTCACAGCAACCCTACAGGACAGAGTAGAACTGCCTCATAGGGTTTCCAAGGAGCAACTGGTGGACTTGAACTGCTGACCTTTTTGTTAGCAGCCGAGTTCTTAACCACTATGCCATTCGGGTTATTAAAGAGAGGCAAAGGGGTCCCAAAAGAGGTGGGGGCTTCCATGTGCGTTTGACTAATTTCCTCTTAATTTTGGAGGCTGAACATGGGAGAAAGGGAAGGGTTACCCAGTCACAGGTGGAAGGGAGTACTGGTAGCAGGAAGACTATATGAAAAACACCATGACCATGTTGGGTTGTTGAGGACTGAGGCTATGAACTGTTTGACTTCCCTCTGATGGCCGTCTAGGCCACAGTCTAGACTAATCGTATCCAAGATTATCCTCTGTCTCCAGAATTTGACTTACTTGGGGCAACAGTGAGGTCCTCAGAACCAAAGCCTACTCTAGCCTGGTGAGCTAGGAAAGCTGGGATAAGAATAACAACCTAAGAGTCCCTACAATTCCAAGAGTCTCTAGATGACTCCAACATCGTAGAAATTTAACACTGTTCCTCTTGATTGCAAAAATCAAACACTGGCTTAGACATTCTGGGTTCTCAGTGAGGGTTCCAGCATCTTAGGTCCCTCAACTCCCTTCCAGGATGAGAAGCCACCCATGGAGGACTTAACTTCTCACCACGTGGGCCAATGAAGGTTTCTCCCTTACAGAAGGGCTAAGAGGTGAGGAGCTGTGGAAGAAAGTGGGTCACTTTTAAGGCAGACTTTTTGGTTGTGTGGGGTTTTTCCTAACCTAGTCCTACCATCTTGGGTTACTCAATGTATAGGATAGAGCAGCAGGAAAAGTAGCAGCAAATGTGGTCCCAGGGCAAGATTCAGAGAACAGGGGCGTTCTGGAAGAATAATATGACCTCAAGCCTCAAGCAGGGGGCTGGTATAACACCTTGATGTTCCAATCCTAAGCCTTTTCCAGCTTGGCCTCATACCTTGGAGTTGGGGTAAAATCGCTATGGCAGAGGAAGAACTGGGGGACTTTGCATACCTTGGATTCTTTACCTCTTCCTGGGTCCTAGTTTCCTAGAAGGTAGGTGGCCAGAGACCATTTAACTTCCAATCCCAAAAGACCGCACAAGTGTGCATGCCCCGCATATTCCAAGCCTCAGGGTGCAAGCTATCTTGGCATCTCAATACCTGGTCTTAGCAGTTTCTGCAACTCTCTTTCTTTCAAGGACAGTGTTGGCTAGGAGCTTGGGAAAGGAAAGACTGAGTTTTGTTCTAGTCTCTCTTTACTTTGTCTCCAAAACTGCCCTTATACAGGTGTTTGTATGGGTGTGTATGCATGCATGCATTCTAACAACAGATGTGCACACTCCTAGATACAGAGTATGTTCCTTGCTGTGGTCATGTGACAAATGGTTAGAATTTTAGGAGGCTCTGTGACTGCATGCTGTATTTGCAATCCATCTAAAACTTTGGGATGGGATTCCATTCCATCATTGAACATGGCAAGACTTGGTTCATCTGCCCCACTGTGAGTCCTTCCTGGGTGAAATTAAAGGCAGACCGGTTGGGTGCTAAGGATCCCTGGTGTGGAGAGGCCATTCCATTGAGCAGCTGACTGTGAAATCAATACCAAAGGGATGCGGGTCCTGGCGTTGGGAATGCTTTGACAACTCCTTGTCCTTCCTTAGCCATGGCTGTATCCCCGGAGGTCTTTCCGGCTGTGTTCTTGGGCCCGGGGGTCCCGACAAGCACAGTCGCCTTGTAGGTCACAGGACATAGGGAAGGGGGTGACCTGAGAGAGAAAAAGAGAAGCTGTGAACACACGTGGTTTGAGTCTGAGGCAATAATTTTCAGAGAGGCAGTGCAGGGCAGGGGACAATCACTGGATTTGGGGAGCAGAAGATTCAAGTTCAAGTTGTGGTTCTGCTTGTTGCTAGCTGTGTGATAACTGTTATCAAAACCATCATGGTTCCATCAGAGAAGTTCCTTTGCAGTGTAGGGGGAGGGGAGTACTTGGATCAGGTAATGTGCTAAGTATTTTCCAAACAGGAAAACACTGAATCCTTTTGACAACTCTGTAAGATAGGTACCCTTTTACAGATGGGGAAACTGAGGCTCAGAAAGGGGTAGTCATTTGCCCAAAGTAGTAAGTGACAATTCTGGTATTTAAAGTAGGACAAGCTACTTCTCTCTGAGCCTCAAGTTCCTATCTACAGGATGGTATGATAAAACCCAACCTGTACTGTGAAACAAATATAAGGGCTGGATGAAATCATGGATGAAAAATTGGAATGTACTAAACCAAAGTTGTTTAATATAGTTATATTAGGTAGAACTGCTCCATAAGGTTTTCTAGGCTGTAATCTTTACAGGAGCAAATCACCAGGTCTTTCTCCTGTGGAGCTGCTGGGTGGGTTCAAACCAGGGCTTCCAACTAGTTCTTTCTGGTTGCAACCCCTGCTGAGAATTTGCAATTCTAACAAGTTCCCAGGAAGTTATAGGTGATTCTTATGCATAACTTCCTGGGAACTTGTTAGAAATGCAAAGCCCTGGTTCAAACTACCAACCTTTTGGTTAGCAGCTTAGCTGTCCACCACCAGCGCTCCTTAACTGTATATTGGCAAGTTGATTTTAGGAGGCAATGATGTAAACAGCAAAAGCCTGTCTCAGGCGAACTCAGATTATTTTCTAGTGGCCTGAAATTTTGAATAGGGAATATTTCACATACAAAATGTAGTTGAAGGCCCTCAGAAACAGATTTTAACATTAAAAAAAAAGTGAGAAATTTGAGTTTCCAGTTCCCAGTCCATCCCTTTCCATGCTCTGTGACCTTGGGCCAGCTTTCCTTTCTAGAAGCTGATAGGAAGAGCCCAGCAGAGCAAGTGTCTTCCTCATGCAGCAGATGGACTTTCCAAAGAGCAGAGTGAAGTCCCTGCTTGAGCCCCAGCCTGCACTAACGCAAGTCACTTTCACCTCATTGCATCATGACATTTGCATACAACTTTCCCTAGAGGGCCCCCATCTGCGCAGATGGATTTAATGACCTCATTCGCCTCCTGCCTAGGCAGGGTCTCCAAGTGCTCACATAGTCTCAGACAGCATCTTTGTCTCTCTTGATCTCTCTCATGCACTTGTGACCTCATTCTCTGTTATCCAACTCTTGTCTCTCTGCCTCTTTGTCTTTCTTCCTTCCGTTCCTCCCTCCCTCCCTCCCTCTTTGCAGTAATTTTGCAATAATTTAAAATATGGGATTGAACATCAGTAAGATTTAAGTGTAAGTCCCAGCTCTCTCATCTGCTTGAGCTGTGACCTTGGGCATGTGACAATTTGTTTGAGCCTCATTTGACTCATCCATTAAATGGGAATGATGATAGTGCCCACTTTCTGAGGTTGTGATGAAGGGTAAGTGAGATAATTCACTTATTATACAGTGCTTGACATATGCTAAGTGCTCAATTATATCTATGTATGTTTACGTGCCTGTATCTATCTATCCATCTGTCTATCTACCTAATCTCCACTGTTTTTTGTTTGTTTTGTCAACCCTCCCACCAATTCTGTGGCTAATGAGGCAGGGACCTTATCTGTCTTGTTCATTGTTTCCCAAGGGCCTCAGCCATAGAATGAATAAATTTCTATTCCTTTCTCCATCTCTCTCTGACTGTCTCTTCCTTTGTACCCATGGCTAACACACCTTTGTTACTCTTTCAAATTAAAATTAATAGGTGCTTGAGGCTGGAGTAAACATTTTCTTCCGTGCAGTGCGTCTCTGTCTACTACTTGCTGTTCCTGGTCAGACACTTACTTTCTGTGGCCTCCATTGTGAATATTCTCCTGCAACCTCTTTGGCTCCAAGAGAAGCACAGAATGTTAGAATTGGAAGACGCATAGAGAGAAAACTCTCCAATTTAATGGGGGAAACTGAAGGCAGCGCTGAGTCCAAATCCAAGTAACTGAGGAAGAGTGGTAAGAGTACTCTCACGAGAGTTTTAGGGCCTGGATTGTGATCCTCGCTTGCCTCATATTTGCTGAGTGACTTTGGGAAAATACCTTCACTGCCATGACCCTTGGTTTCTACATCTGGAGATTAAAAATATATATATACTGTATTTCATATGGTGTGGAAACCAAACAAGAATAAACACGTGAAAGCCCCTAGGACATGGGCTACTATCTAGGAGATACTCAATGCTGAATGCTTGAGTGCTGAATCTAAATTTCTCGCTTACATTTCACCAACTGGGACGCCTTTCCTGCCTATTGTGCCCTCTCTCCCATCTTCCTAGACTTGGGCAATCTCTTTGTCCCCAACTCACCCATCACCTTATCTCTCCCCTTCTCCTGTCCTTGCCCACATTCTAATTGGAATTAAAGTGATCCAGTTACCTCTAATGTCTTCTGTACCATTCACTCTGTACCACTTTCCCATTGGGCTCTGAGACCCATTAAGGACAGTTTTACATCTGATGTGTCTCTTGTATTTCCTGCCGCACCTCACACAGATAGCAATTTAGCACATTTTACCTCTTGGAATAAGATACAAAGCCTTACCACAAGTTCAAGACCTTGCAAGATCTGACCTCCACATACTTCTTAGAGCTCACCTGGTTCCCCTTTCCCCCTCACTCTCTGTGGCTTTTTATTTTAAAAAAAATTTTTTGGTTCTTCAAATACTATGTTTTCCTGCTTTTAAATCTTTGGCCACTATTGTTCCTCTGCCTGAAATGCCCTTCCACTGGCAGCTCCTTGTTCTCCTCAGGTCTCACCTCAAGCATCACCTCCTTCCTCATTGGTCCATCCAAAGATGCCATCATCACCTTCACTCCACATCACAGGAACCTATCTTTACCTCCTACTTGTCCTAAACTGGTTGATGTCTTCTTCAGTTCATTGTCAGCTCAGTCTGGGCAGTGACCATGTCTATCGTTCAACATCGCATCCCTAGCACTGAGTTTTTGTACAATACATAATAGGTACTCAGTAAATCAATGCATGGAGATAGAGGCAGGATGCATGTTTGGAAGCCTCTTTTCTTGAACTTACTTGCTACCTGATTTTGTACAAGGTACTTCCCTTTTCTGGGCTTCAGTTTTCCCATCTGTGCATTCAGAGTTGATCTTACTGGTCTCTAAGTTCCCATTTGGCTGAACATTCTTCTCAGTTTGAGAAGGCAGAAGGCAATGCCTTGTCTAGGAAGGAATTACAAATGGAAATTTCCCCCAAACACTCAGTCTTTCATGTTCCCCTTTCTGTCTTCCCTAGTTCCACCAGCTTCTCTGAAACCATCAACTGGCAGGGCTCTGCCACTAGTTAGCTTCTCAGACCAGCCTGGTCACTTTGGCTATGTTGGCTTGGTGCGACCACTCTTCCCTCCCCAGGTTGGCCCAGGCAGTTTCAGCATTTTCCTGAAAGAATGTCATCTGGAAAGTAAGGCAAGGAAACTCAATCAGAATATGACAGAGTTTGGAAGGTTTGGTCTGAGGTGGCAGATCCAGAGGCCTCCTTGTCTCCACCACATGTTTGTAATAGCAGCTTCATTGACTGAGCTCTCGCTAGGAATTTGGGAGGCAGACAAGCCGGGGATCAGTTGTGGGCTCCATGAAGGAACTGCATGACTTTGGGCAAGTCCCTAGAGCCCTGTGAACCTTAGTCTCCCTATCTGTAATATGTTGCCTTCCTAAAGAGCTCTCAGACTTCTAGGGAGGAATCAATGAAATAATGTCATCTACAAACCAGCTGGCACAGCGCCTGGCACAGAAGAGATGCACAATGTCTTGTTCCCTCCTTCCACCCTCCTTCTTACCTCCCTGAAAACTGCCCATGCTGAGACTATTTTGGGATCTCCTCTAGTCACAAGCTTACTTACTGATCAAGGGCCTAAAGCTGGAAAGAAATCGGTGGAGATCACCAGCTCCATCCACTTTCCCAGGTGTTCCTTGGTCTGACCTGGAATAGACTTCCATGAAGCCTGTTCATACAAGTTCACAGTAGTGAACACCATTTTTTCATAAATGCTAACAATTCCTGATGGCCTTCCCTGAGCCTGATGATTTCCATATAATAGCTTGTTGACATCACACAACCTTGTGAGGCTATCCTTATTAGTTGCCCATTTTGCAGATGAGAAAATAGAGGCTTCTCAATGTTTAAGACAAAACAAACTTGCCTCGGACCTCACTACTAGTTGATAAGTAGAGGATACAGGATTTCAGACCCATCTCCAAAGACTGACAGCCCTTCAGCAAGTAAGAGTAAGAAAAAGACACTTTCTTCACAACCTGGTGAGTCTGGCTGCTGTCTTTTTAATAGCCAGTATCCTTTTATTACCTTATTATGTGTCTGGCACTGAGATAAACTCAATGTACATTTTCTCACTCACTCCTACCAGCAACCCTAATTTTATATCTTAGCGGAAACTAAGATGCAAAGAGGTGAGTCACAGGGCTGGCAAGTGGCCTGGGATCTGCATACATGTTTGTAGCCACTCATAGCTACCATCCCCCAGGAGGTAGACAGAGCAGGAGTCAGGGTCCCCTATTCACAGAGGAAGAAACTGAGTCACAGAGAGAGGAGTCACACCCCGATATAGTGAGTGTTCTGAGCTTGCCTATCAGATTCCCTGATTCCCCGTGCAGCTTCCCACCTTCTTCCCCAGACGGCCTCCCAAGAAAACCTACCACCCACAGCATGAACATCGTGGTGGCCAGTTTACATTTGGGGATTCCTAGCACCATGTGGCTAGGATGCCCCATAAATGGCTTGGCCACCCACTCTGGGGTTCTGTCAACAAGC